TCTTTAAGATATGAAGGGGCCTGACCATGAAGAGCTTTATAGGTGAGGAGGAGTATTTTAAATTCAATTCTACATTTTATAGGGAGCCAATGCAGAGTAGCTAGTACAGGAGAGATGTGATCTCTTTTTCTAGTTCCTGTCAGTACTCGTGCTGCAGCATTCTGAATTAATTGGAGCGTTTTAATGGACTTATTGGGGCAACCTGATAATAAAGAGTTGCAGTAATCCAGCCTTGAAGTAACAAATGCATGGATTAGTTTTTCTGCATCTGTCTGTGATAGTATGTGTCTAATTTTTCTAATATTACGTAAATGAAAGAAGGCAGTCCTAGAGGTCTGCTTTATGTGGGAGTTAAATGACAAATCCTGATCAAAGATAACTCCAAGATTCCTGACAGTGGTGCTAGAGGCCAAGTTAATGCCATCTAGAGTGACTATATCTTTAGACAATGAGTCTCTAAGGTTTTTGGGGCCAAGAACAAGAATTTCGGTTTTTTTCTGAGTTTAACATCAGAAAATTGCATTGGGTTTGATTGATAGATATAACTGCGTATCATCTGCATAACAGTGAAAGTTAATGGAGTGATTCCTAATAATGTTGCCTAAAGGGAGCATATATAAAGTAAATAGTATTGGTCCAAGTACAGAACCTTGTGGAACTCCATGACTAACTTTAGTATTTATGGAGGATTCATCGTTAACATGTACAAACTGAGAACGATCTGATAAGTATGACTTAAACCAGGTTAGGGCAGTTCCTTTAATGCCAATTTGATGCTCAAGTCTCTGTAAAAGAATATCATGGTCAATGGTGTCAAATGCAGCACTAAGATCTAATAATACAAGTACAGAGACAAGTCCATTGTCAGAAGCAGTCAGAAGGTCATTATTAACTTTAACCAGAGCTGTCTCTGTGCTATGATGAACTCTAAATCCTGACTGAAAATCCTCAAATAAACTATTGTTATGTAGAAAGTCACACAACTCTTTGGCGACTACTTTCTCCAGAATCTTAGAGAGGAACGGGAGGTTAGAAATCGGTCTATAGTTGGCTAAAACCCCTGGGTCAAGAGTAGACTTTTTAAGAAGGGGTTTAATTACAGCTACTTTAAAGGACTGTGGTACATATCCTGATAATAAAGAAAGATTAATCATATCCAGTAAAGAAGTGCCAATTAAGGGAACAACTTCTTTAAGCAGCCTAGTTGGGATCGGGTCTAACAGACAGGTTGATGGCTTCGATGAAGAAATGATTGAAGTTAACTGATGAAGATCGATAGCAGAAAAACAGTCTAAATATACATCTAAGTTTACATTGACAGAAGTCCCTGAACTTGGAGAGCCACTGATAACTGTTGATGGCAGTTGGTGATTAATTTTTCTCTAATAGTAATAATTTTATTATAGAAGAAGCTCATGAAGTCATTGCTACTTAGGTTTATGGGGATATGTGGCTCGATAGAGCTGTGACTCTCTGTCAGCCTGGCTACAGTGCTGAAGAGGAACCTAGGGTTATTCTTATTTTCTTCTATTAGTGCTGAGTAATAGGCTCCTCTGGCATTACGGAGGGCCTTTCTATAAATCTTAAGATCATCTTGCCAATTTGAGCGATATTCGGATAATTTGGAAGAGCGCCATTTCCTTTCAGATTTCCTAGCTATTTGCTTTAACTGGCGGGTTTGGTGGTTATACCAAGGTGCTAGTCTCCTATGTTTTAATAATTTCCTTTTTATAGGAGCGATAGAGTCTAATGTTGATCGTAGTGAGCCTGTAGCACTATCGACAAGATTATCAATTTCAGAGGGACTAAAGTTGTTATAGGACTTTTACATCTATTGTGTTCACAATAATCTCCATGCTGCACTTTTTAGACCAGTGGATTGTCAGTCTGTCCAACATGGATCTGATGTTTGCTTCCATGATTTGACTTTGAGTCATTCATATAATATTCTGTTCCAGCTGCTGGAGGACAACATTGTCACTTTTGTGAAGAACGAGCTGAAGAAGATCCAGAAGGTTCTGAGTTCAGATTACCCAGAATGCTCAGAGAGTCAGAGGCAGGATGAGGAGGTGTTGGACAGTGAGGATGAAGAGCAGAGGAGGAGCAGCAGAGAGGCATTTCTGAAGATCACAGTGCACTTCCTGAGGAGAATGAAGCAGGAGGAGCTGGCTGACTGTCTGCAGAGCAGTAAGAGGATTTCTCTAAAGATTGAACTCGCTGGATAAATGAGACATTTACTGATGTCTCAACAGAAGGACCAAAATATATTCACATACTCATTCTTTAAGGCAGTGTTTCCCAAACTTTGGGTTGGGACCCAGAATGGGTCACTGATAGGGATCAACTGATATGTTTCTTTCAGGGCCGTTACAGATACCGATTATTAGTAATGAAGGAAACCGAACATTCGCAGGAAACATTCTTTTGAATAACCAGCGAAACTGTGGCGTGTGTGGAGGCTCTCAATGTGAACAACGCCACCTTGGGAATTGCACCCAAGGAATTATTTTACATTGATCAAAACACAGGTTCGTTCCACTCGATAGGCAAGACACGTGGTTCCCAGTTTACAAAGATACTTTATTTAATAAAATATATATATATAATAAAAATGATCATTCATCCCAAATAATAAAAAAAAGGAACCTAATCAGGGGCTGAGGCCTACTGGTGGGGAAAGAGCAGGTGAAGGGGAAGGGGACTCAACAAAACTAAATTAAAGAAAAAGGGTTCACCCAGACACACGTGGCAGTCACACACTATGATTTCACCAAGTCCAAGGAAGCACAGCACACAAGAAGGAGGGACACCACCACCCACATCACCAGCACCACCACCAGCCTGCAGCCACTGAGAAGGAAAAACAAAGGAAGTTACTACAGAAATAATTAACCCAAAATGTACAACAAAACATACAGTATAAGACAGGAAATAGTTCCTCACAATCATTCGGCTAAAATTAAAGAAATAAAACAGGTTAAAAGTGTGGTGTCGGCAATCCACCATGAAGCCGACTGTAGCCAAAAGCCAGCAACAGCACCAAGCGGCAGAGACAAGCTGTGTGGTTAGCGGCTATGTAGACAAAGCAGGGTAGGCAAAGCTAGAGACAAAGCAGCAGCGACACAGCCGTGCGTTTAACGGCAGAGACAAAACAGCAGACAGAGCTGTGTAGATAAATCTGTGTAGACAAAGCTAGCGATAAAGCAGCAGACAAAACAGCAGTAGCCCCAATTAGCTGGTGGTGGAGTCACGTGAATCACCACCTGTAGATTTCGGCCAGCTGATGAGCGTTCCCTATGTTCAAAGTCAAACCTGCACAGGGAGAGGGAGGGAGAGAGAGACCCACACGGCAGCGGACATCTACCATCGCTAGAGAGGACAAGGGACTAGTGATGGCAGTGTGACACTGAAGCTTCGATTCATGCATCAAACCCTGAACTACAGCTCCATAGAACCACTGCTTCAAAGCTTTAGTGCGAAAAAAATCACGTGACATATGGCGTCCGAAGCAACAACTGCTTCATTGCCTGAATGGAGCTGACTGGTTCGCAGTCCAATCAGGCAATTCACTGCCTCGTCTCGATTCTGACAGGTGACAGGTTGAGACAGTTTTGAATTTGAGCGCCTTTAACACTTTATAACTGCAAATGTGAAGAAATTGTGAGCAAAAAAAGAAACCGGCTCAACCCAAAAACTGTTGAAAAATTAGCGTACCATAATAAAAACCTTTGAGTGTTCCCCCCCGCCATAGTTAGTGAGAGCGTGAGAAAGGAGGGCCGTACTTATGTACTGCCGCCCTAGTGGTCAACTGGCGCAATTAATTGCAGCATGACAACCCTATTTCTAGGCTGCTACAAAACTAAGAGCATTTATTTATTACTTTAGTTACTTTGCAGATTCACATTATCAATATCAAATATAAATCAAATTATAAATTTTTAATCAATATTATAGATTGAACACAATAACTGTTATCTTAGTCTCTTCAAGTAGTGTGATATCAGTATCAGTTTAATCATGTGTTTAATAAAATATTGCATATTTTTTCAGAGTCATTTTTAATATTTAATATTATATTTTACTCTCAATCAGATAATCCTGTGGGCGGGACACTGAGCTATACTACAGAAAGAGAGAAGCAGCTCCATCAAAACCACCGTAGCACAGATTTTATCAGCGATCGGTTATAAAATGTATGATACCAATAATCTCTCCAGGTCTCCAATTAAAATGCATAACAACGTAACAATGTTTTGATATGTGAATTAAATTTCACACTTAAAACAGAAGAAGAGAAAACGCTCTTCTGACTAGTGTGTGCTGTAATCTTCTTCATCATTAGTTTATAAATGTAACTCTTATGGTTTCATTCATGATGTATTTTTATTATTTCAAGGTAGCTGCCACCAGCTGAAAGTTTAACACAATGTTTGGGAAACACTGCTTTAGTGGAAAGAAACTGTCATTTTTTTAAATCAATCACTTGATCTTCTTTTCTGTGTCTTCATTAAGAACATTTTGGTGGAGTCTGTCAGCGTGAACTTAAATCTAACCTGAAGAAGAAGTTCCAGTGTGTGTTTGAGGGGATTGCTAAAGCAGGAAACCCAACCCTTCTGAACCAGATCTACACAGAGCTCTACATCACAGAGGGAGGGACTGCAGAGGTCAATGATGAACATGAGGTCAGACAGATTGAAATAGCATCCAGGAAACCAGACAGACCAGAAACAACAATCAGACAAGAAGACATCTTTAAACCCTCACCTGGAAGAGATGAACCAATCAGAACAGTGATGACAAAGGGAGTGGCTGGCATTGGGAAAACAGTCTTAACACAGAAGTTCACTCTGGACTGGGCTGAAGACAAAGCCAACCAGGACATACAGTTCACATTTCCATTCACTTTCAGAGAGCTGAATGTGCTGAAAGAGAAAAAGTACAGCTTGGTGGAACTTGTTCATCACTTCTTTACTGAAACCAAAGAAGCAGGAATCTGCAGGTTTGAAGAGTTCCAGGTTGTGTTCATCTTTGACGGTCTGGATGAGTGTCGACTTCCTCTGGACTTCCACAACACTGAGATCCTGACTGATGTCACTGAGTCCAGCTCAGTGGATGTGCTGCTGACAAACCTCATCAGGGGGACACTGCTTCCCTCTGCTCGCCTGTGGATAACCTCACGACCTGCAGCAGCCAATCAGATCCCTCCTGAGTGTGTTGACATGGTGACAGAGGTCAGAGGGTTCACTGACCCACAGAAGGAGGACTACTTCAGGAAGAGGTTCACAGATGATGAGAAAGCCAGCAGAATCATCTCCCACATCAAGACATCACGAAGCGTCCACATCATGTGCCACATCCCAGTCTTCTGCTGGATCACTGCTACAGTTCTGGAGGATGTGTTGAAGACCAGAAAGAGAGGAGAGCTGCCCAAGACCCTGACTGAGATGTACATCCACTTCCTGGTGGTTCAGTCCAAACTGAAGAACATCAAGTATGATGGAGGAGCTGAGACAGATCCACACTGGAGTCCAGAGAGCAGAAAGATGATTGAGTCTCTGGGAAAACTGGCTTTTGAGCAGCTGCAGAAAGGCAACCTGATCTTCTATGAATCAGACCTGACAGAGTGTGGCATCGATATCAGAGCAGCCTCAGTGTACTCAGGAGTGTTCACACAGATCTTTAAAGAGGAGAGAGGACTGTACCAGGACAAGGTCTTCTGCTTCATCCATCTCAGTGTTCAGGAGTTTCTGGCTGCTCTTCATGTCCATCTGACATTCATCAACTCTGGAGTCAATCTGCTGGCAGAACAACAAACAACATCCTGGTGGTCTCAATTATTTAAAGACAAAGGGAATCTAAAAGATCTCCACCAGAGTGCTGTGGACAAGGCCTTACGGAGTCCAAATGGACACATGGACTTGTTCCTCCGCTTCCTCCTGGGCCTTTCACTGTGGACCAATCAGAATCTCTTGCAAGGTCTGTTGACACAGACAGGAAGTAGCTCACAGACCAATCAGAAAACAGTCCAGTACATCAAGAAGAAGATCGAAGAGACTCCCTCTGCAGAGAGGAGCATTAATCTGTTCCACTGTCTGAATGAACTGAATGATCGTTCTCTAGTGGATCAGATCCAACAGTTCCTGAGTTCAGGAAGTCTCTCCACAGATAAACTGTCTCCTGCTCAGTGGTCAGCTCTGGGCTTCATCTTACTGTCATCAGGAAAAGATCTGGACATGTTTGACCTGAAGAAATACTCTGCTTCAGAGGAGGCTCTTCTGAGGCTGCTGCCAGTGGTCAAAGCCTCCAACAAAGCTCTGTAAGTACAGACAGAGTTGGATTTCTGTATTATTACTTAAATACTCTGCTATCTTTTCTGTTAACTGCATAATTTTTTTTTTCCATTATGAATTAATTGATGTGTATTAATTACGCTTTTTGTCTTTCATTGTTGATCATTGTCTCTACAGACTGAGTGACTGTAACCTCTCAGAGAGAAGCTGTGAAGCTCTGTCCTCAGTTCTCAGCTCCCAGTCCTCTAGTCTGAGAGAGCTGGACCTGAGTAACAACAACCTGCAGGATTCAGGACTGAAGGTGCTGAATGTGGGACTGGAGAGTCCACACTGTACACTGGAAACTCTCAGGTGAGATCATAGTATAGTTAATCTTTAGTTAAAGGATGGTAAATATCAGCCCAAGGGCCAATTGGCACCTATGTCAAATTATTTTACTTTCATATCTTACTGGTGCAGGCACATGAAAAATAATAATGCAACTGCATAACAGTGTAAAAACGTTAAAGGTGATTAATATTTGCTACCAATCAGGACGGCATTCTTACAGACTTTAACCATCACTCCTCAGTGAGCTGCCTCCTTGGTGGAGGGCTGAAAGTACTTTTTAGTATCTAGTTATGAATTCTAATGTTTTTAATCTGTTTACATTGATATAGGCTAATAAAAATAACATCAGTTTCTTTAATAGGATACATTAACAATATTTTCATAGTCCGGCTCCCACAGGGTTTGCTTATAAAAATTCTGACCGTTGGACAAATGCAGTTGAATACCTCGGGTACACATCAAATCTCAAACTACAATACTTTTGTAAACTTCAAAAAAACATGTTTGATATTTGAATGAATCTGAACTTCCAATGAACGGCTGGAGGAGGAAAGAGAGGACTTTGGTAACCTGAGTCTGAGAGACAGCTGTAGAGGAAAAGAGAGAGGACCGGAGACCAAAACCAGACCAAAACAGAAGATAAAATGAAGAGATCTGGAGAAATCACAGTGAAGAGTGAGAGAGGGAAAAAGAGATTTGGAAATCTCTGTTCTTCAGATTGAGAATTCAATTCAATTCAGTTTCATCTGTATAGCACCAATTCATAACAGAAGTTATCTCAGGAGACTTTTCAAATAGAGCAGGTCTAGACCGAACTCCTGGTAACATTATTTACAGAGTCCCAACAGTACCACCATGAGCAAGACCTTGGAGACGGCAGCAAGGAAAAACTTCCTTTTAAGAGCCAGGAACCTCAGACAGACCCCGACTCGGGGAGAGAGAGAGAGAGAGAGAGAGAGAGAGAGAGAGAGAGAGAGAGAGAGAGAGAGAGAGAGAGAGAGAGAGAGAGACCGATGATAATAATGGCCACCGTGATGGGTAATGGTGAACGATGATGATGATATTAATAATAATAATAATGGCAGTGAAGGTCAAGCAGGACCACGGCAGCAGGAACCACCAGGATCCATGAGAACCTGCGACACGAGAAAGCACATTTCTTTACTGGTTTCCAAAGTAGATTTTAAACCCAGCACTTGACAAAGGCTGGTTCTTAACCACTGTGTCATCTGTTTACAACCATAGAACATAGAGCTTGTCAGGTATGATCCCTTGAATATCTTATCATTTCTTCATGTTGATCATTGTCTCTACAGACTGAGTGGCTGTAACCTCTCAGAGAGAAGCTGTGAAGCTCTTTCCTCAGTTCTCAGCTCCCAGTCCTCTAGTCTGATAGAGCTGGACTTGAGTGACAACAACCTGCAGGATTCAGGACTGAAGCTGCTGAATGTGGGACTGAAGAGTCCACACTGTACACTGGGAATCCTCAGGTCAGGATTCATGAATCTGTTCTTTCTATCCTCATATTTTAGAGTACTTTTATTTTGCCTCTGCTGCTGGAACCTGACATACCAAAGAGGAATTTTAGGAGTCAAGAACTGTGTAACTGACCCAAAGTAAAACTCATACAGCCAGTTTTCAAATGAACATGTAGTGCCCCTAAGGCTTACCCAAAGGAAGTAATAGTAGAGCAACTAACATCTACCTAGGTCAGAGGTACGGTGCCTTTAATAACTCAGGACGAGTTAGTTTGGGGATTGAACAGTTGACAGTATTTATTGTCTCAACCAATCCAACAATATGATCAGCAATTCACATGGAATGAAAATAAAAATACAAAATCAAATAGATCTCTCTCAGATGTAAAATAATAAAAGAAAATAAATAGTCCTTTAAGGAGTCAGGTATTGAGTTCAGAGTTCAAGGTTCAGTTCCTGATCCTTGTACATCTGTGCACTGATTATACTACTACTACCCGGGTAGAGTTAATAGTGTGTACACTAGGGCTGAACGATTAATTGCATTTGCAAGAATATCGCGATATGATAAAACGCGATTTTCTAATCACAACTTGCGCGATTACAAGGTGGTCACGTGGCGCGAGTGAAAGAGTGGAGAGCTCGGCTGCATCAACTTTTCATGCTGCCCTGTAAGCTGTTGCGCAATGGCCTCTGGCTCAACGGAACAGTCAGAAACGGACACATCTCAGACTTTAGTCTTGAAGAGGAACAGCACGTCGGTGGTGTGGAACTCTTTTGGTTTCAAAAAGAAGATGCTGCGCAGCGTCAGGTGTTGTGCAGAGCATGCTGTGCTCCCGTTGCTACTTTACAGGGTAACACTACAAACTTGTTCCAGCACTTAAAAAAATACCACTAATCAATGTATGGCAGTTGTATGGCCAAAATGCGGAGCACCAGAGCACCAGTGCGCCAGACAAGCCAAATACCGCAAGACAGGGATCACTGACCGAAATGTTTGAAAGTGTCACTCCATATGAACGTAACTCAAAACGGCACAGGGAAATCACTCGGGCAATAACCGAGTTCATAGCCAAAGATATGATGCCTCTCAGCACGGTGACCAAGCCTGGGTTCATGGCATTGATAAATACGCTGATATGCGGTACAGTACACCCTCCCGTACATACTTCAGTCAGACTGCCATACCGGAGCTGTACAAAAAGTACAAAGAGAAAGTCGCCCCGGAGCTTAAAACGGTGGAGTTTTTTGCTACCACTACTGATATGAGTGCCATACTCATAGTGAACTTTAGTCTGTGTGGTGTGTTATTGTTGTGTACTTGAACATAATAATTGATAAGTGAGGTTGATCTATACTATAATATTCAAATTGTTTTTTATTGTCTAATTTAAAAGTGCATTTCTCCGTTTTTTTTTATAATTTTATTTACTTTGATTTTACAAAACATTTTCAAAGTAGTAGAGGCAAATTCTATGTTTCAGTTGTGTGAAATGTTACTGACTTGGGAGCAGTAAGATACATATAATTTTAAATGATTTTTTTCTTAAGACTGTACATTTTGCACACAGTGCATGCCTTTGTTTAAATTACTTAAATGCACAGTGGCAAAGCCACAGATGTTTCTGTAATGGGCAGTTAAATAAAAATTTCATTTATTTCAGTCATACATCTTTTAATTTAATTCTAACAAATAGGCCCAGCCTATGGGGAAGAACATTTTACACTAAATGTATCTAATATTGTGTTGGTCATATTTAAATCATTCATTATGTTTTGTTGGGGAAAAAAAGAGGATAAAATAAATAATAAATAAAAAATCGCATATTAAATCAGAATTACAATATTGGGGGAAAAAAATCGCAATAAGATTATTTTCCCAAATCGTTCAGCCCTAGTGTACACAGTCTTATCTGTTCCTGAATGTGCAAACTAGTCCAATGTCCTCTGGGGCTGGTCGTGCGGCGGCCTCACCGCGTCCCCGACCCTCCACAGTCACTCTGGGCTGGGCTCGCCATCATTGGATCCTCT